TGGGGTGGCTGGTACCCAGCCACCTAATATTTTCACCTATATATACTCGCGCTCCAACTACCTTAGTTAGCCAATGAATCCATTATCAAACCAAACTCACGACTTACACTACTTTGCGAGAAACAAAACATTTAGTGAGTGCAAAGACCTATCTTTAGCAGTTATAGTTAAAGTTAATAAAGCGTCGTTGCTAAAGGCTTTGTTCAGTTCACCGTACATAGGCACATCATGAAGCCTCTCAACTCTCCTATCCTATCCCATCAGTCAATCCCGGAGCTCCTGCCGTCGCCCGGGACTAAATCATGTTCCCAGAAGGCCGAAGTCTTTACGCAATCTGAGACTTCACCAGCGCACCTTATCTCTACCTCGAAGACCCCACTCAATCCTAATTCAAATAGGGTGTCTATTCAACAGCTCAGCCAAATCCCAAACGTTAAAAGGGATTCAACAAAAGCATCAGATCTAGCAGTCCTTCCGTTTCCTTCTACTTGTACCTTACCTCCACCTACTAGATTTACGAAATACATGAAAACGATGAAGTCTAAATCTCAATAGCACGGCTTGATATTACTGCCTCTAGCACGCTAGATAGTTCGTAAACGCCGCGAGTTTCTTTTAGTTTAAGCTCTAAGAGATAGTATCCTTAACTTTTCTCTAACTAATCTAGCTCTACGTGTATCTATAGCTAATAAAGTAAGAAAAGGCGTTAAGAGCACCTTAATAGGTATTTAAAAAAACCCTATTTCAATCGTTATAGAAGTTAATCCTTAAGGGAAAGGCTATTAGAGCAAGATATACTAAGACTTTCACGGCCGTGCTAAGTAGAAAATCTAATCTCTCTATTAGATCTACTTAAGAAAGGACCTTCAGAGGATCCTGTTCTATTGCGCTATTTATTAGGGCACTCTTTCGTATGGGGAAATCGCTTGCAGGTTTTATCTACTAGTGGGAGCGCTTTTGTCTTAGATAGTAGGATTAATTAATCGTGTAGAGGACATTTGAATGCGCTAGCGGCTATGGTCTACTTTTTAATCGTGCTTGTTTTAGCGTGCATGCAACTCCGCTAATTGTTCATACATATTGCTACTACTTGTCGCTATCCTAATACCTATAATTAGTGACTATCACACCCTAGAAAATAGCCAAATCCACTCCACAGAATCTAACGCGCATGTTTAAAGACTGAAGTATTGGCATTTGCCGCAAAGCCGCAAAGCTTCACGCGACTGATAGTAGAATCCGTATATCCATTTGTATTAAGAAACCTAGCTAGTAGCCTCTAGTGTTTTCCTGCGAAGAGTAAGGTTTCTAATAGCTAATATTTATGTAGGAATATATACGTTCTATGATCTTGTTATTAGATACTTCTAATAAGATTATTGTAGGCAGATAATTAGGCACCTATCGTGAAACCACCGTTATATTTCGTATCCTTGAATGAGGGCCTTTCAAGGGGGTGAGTCAAAGCATTCAAGTCATCTCTATCACCCTTGTCTTCACCACAACCGCAAACACTAGAATTAAACCATACACCAGAACGCAAGAAGAGCGAGGATGATTTAGATGATCTAGGTCAATGGAACCTTCGGGGATTTCCTATACCAAATGCTAGTCCTAGTTGATATCCAAGCCCTCTTCCACCGCGAACAGCTATTGTGCTCCTGTTAAAGAGACGACGACTAAAAAGGGATGACGGCGATTTGTAATAGTACGGCGAAGCACGGCACCACAACATTGTTAGTATACTACATAGTTAGTTGAAATCCAGTTTTTTAAGTTTTTTTCACTCCTTGTGGAGAAAGATAACGTGAACGATGGCTTTGTTTCAAAGACAATAACTAGTTAATTATTTTAAAGGTTGTTAACCTCTTGTAAAAACGCGCGGCGTCTTGATGTTGTCGCATTCATAGACCACGAGATAAACTAAATTGAAGGAGTACCTTTCACTAGCTCTAGCGCGGTGGACAAATCTCAAAAGAGAGGACAAATCTCAGCAGCCTTATTTGTATTGTAGCTAAATTCTATATTGTTCCAATGTGACGTTACAGCCCAGACCCAGGATAACTTCCAACACTTAGCAGCACTTATCGCAGGGTGACATGTATAGGTTATAGCATTTAGCAGCCAGGTTTGCAGCCGGAACCTTCGGGAACAATATATGTAGAACAACAGTTGTTCGGGCCTTGAGCATTCTATAAGAGTGTCAATACAAGTCTAATAAAATCATTGGTAGAAGACTATACAGGCTCGGCAGCGGGGGCAGCAAGAACAGCCACAGCCATAGTGAAGAAAGCGGCGATTGCGAAACGCATAGTGTGAAGTGGTAGTGTGAAGTGGTAGTGTGAAGGAGTAGTGAGTTGGTCTAGACGATGTTATTGTTGATGTTCTCGCTCGATGTTTGTTGACTTGAGCTACTGACGAGGATGCTTTTATAGCCTCTCAAGCCCATCGCCGCCACTGCCGAGTTCGTATACTGTGATTTACGTAAAACACGGTCTAACTAGACAAGGCTCTTGATGCGACATATAGATACTCCGTATGGTGTATCTCACTGCCGATCTCCTATCATCCTAGCATCCCTATAATATTGTGCTACAAGGTAGAATTCGTATATGTGGGCCGCTGACAAGGGAACGATAAAGGCCAGGGTCAAGAGTAAGGGGTATACATACCATAGAGAGCCCAACCTATACCCTTTGAGTTGCGATTATAGAGAATTTCTCTACAATTAATCTACTATAGTTATCTGAAGAAGAGCGTGGTTTTTGTTTTAGAGCGTCTTCACACACATAACTTGTACCATGTAGCACAGTATGTCTCTTATGAATTATCTAAGAATAACTAGTTACGCAAGATTGTCAGGCTGACGTGAGAGCTCACGCGACTTTTTTCAACGCAAAATTAAGGACTCGAACGATATACTATGCTGTCTGGCAGAAATAATATATGTGGGCCACTAGCAAGGGGACAATACAGGCCAGGGTGAAGAGTAAGCCCTATACTATAAAGAGTACTCT